GACCAGATCTGGAGCACTGGGGGAAGGGGAGTTAAAACACCATTGCTGTGCTGCCAGGAGTTGCTGTGATCCCCCTCCCTCCCCTTCCTGTTTCTCCAGGGAGTCCTCTATGCACCCTTCCTCCACAAAGGAGAGGGAAGAAGCTTATCTGGAAACTGCAGAAGGCAGAAAGGTGCTTAGGGAGGAGGGAGGTGGAAAGGAGGAAGAGAAAGGAGGGAAAAGGAGATAATTTGAGGAAACCACAGCCAGGACCTCTGGACCACGAACCTATGTGGTGGGAACACTCATGAGGTACTCCCAGACTTGCATCCAGCACCCTTCTTCCAGGTTCAGCAGGTGCAGGGCACAGGGAGTGCTGGGCAGGAGAACATCCCACAGGAGGTACCTACCAAGGAGCTGGTGTAGGTGGGGTCAGACGTGTCGTCCTGCAGGTAGCGCGAGAGGCCAAAGTCGGACACTTTGCACACCAGGTTGCTGTTGACCAGGATGTTCCTGGCAGCCAGATCTCGATGCACATAATTCATCTCTGCCAGGTACTTCATCCCAGCAGCAATCCCTCTGAGCATTCCCACCAGCTGGATCACTGTGAACTGCCCATCGTTTTGCTGCGAGCAGAAAGAGCAGGCACTGGGGTGAGCACGCAGACCCCACAGTGGGACCAGCACCACTCACCCTGACCTCAGGAAGATGCTGCACCTCCCCAGGAGACTCCAGCTGCCCTGCTGGATTACAGCACAGGCAAGCACTCCAAAACACACATTTTGGAGATGTACGGCACACTCCACCAGCTCCCAAATTAAGCCAACAGGCTGGGATTTACAAACACGACACCGACATCTCATTCCCAAATCCCCCAGTGCAGGTGGCATGGCCTTACCCGCAGGAAGGAGTCCAGGGCCCCGTTCTCCATGAACTCTGTGATGATCATGACCGGCCGGCTCTTGGTGACCACCCCTTCGAGGCGAATGATGTTGGGGTGGTCGAACTGCCCCATGATGCTGGCCTCGCTCAGGAAATCCCGGCGCTGCTTCTCCGAGTACCCGGCCTTGAGCGTCTTGATGGCCACGTAGATCTCCCGCTTGCCTGGCAGCTTCAGGCGCCCTTTGTACACCTCTCCAAACTCCCCTGCAGGCACAAGATGGAACCATTTAGGTTGGTCAGCCTTTGACCAATCAGCACCAGAGCCACCACCTTCTCCTCCTCCTCCACACTAAACACTGCAAAGAGCAAGGGGTCCTCGCCCAGCTGAGAAATGGCAGCCAATTCACACTTCAACAACGCTCTCCTCTACAAATCTGCCCACCTGTCCTCCTTAAAAGAGCCAATGTCTGCTACTGGGGCCATGTTTGCAACCTTCTCCAAGGTGACAGAGCCCACCACCGACATAGGCAGAGGCTGCAGCTGCCTGTGCAAACCCCCACAAGGAGGATTTGCAGGTAAAATGCATCCACATTTAAGGACTACCTCAAATATCAGATGTTGGTGGGGTTAATCTCAGCTGCCTTTCTGCACATCACTTATCTTGGGGTGGGAAATAATTGGGCTGTTTACACTGCTGCTCTCTGATTTAAAATACAGAGAACAAAGAGAGCTTTCACCTCACCAAAGCAAAATTTGTCTGAGGAGGGATTACATTTAAGCCATGTTTGTAGCCACTCTGCCTTGATGAGCAGCAAAGGGCAGGTGAAACATTGCTGAACTTGATCCCAAACAAACTGACTCATTGCTTCCTCACAGCTTCCCCATCTCAGCTTCTCACTTTCTCCTCCATGAGTATGACACAGTTATTTAAAAATGGCAATAGAACAGCACAGATCACTCACACACACATGCTATGTGTGTGTATATACATATGTAAAAGAATATGGCATAGACTACAGTGAGATGGGGCTTTTCTTGTTATCTCACAGAAAAGCCACATGGAAAATCCCAAGAAGCCCCATGGTGAGCCAGTGAATACATTCCTGAAGCCTCTTCCACCTGAGAGGAACTTTGAGAGCATAAAACACCCCCATGTCCACCCCAACCCATCACAAACCCAGGAAAGCCTGATGTTTCAAGGCTTCATTGAGGCTTTCCAGGCAAAATACCATGTGTGCACCCCCACAGACTTGTTCCAGGTGGGTGCACAACCACACAGGAGCAGCAGAGAGGGCAGGGAAGGATGGGCAGCCGGACAGAGACCCACCTGCCCCAATGACCTCTTCAATCTTCACAAAGGACACATCGATCTCCTTGGCGAACTCTCGGACAGCTTCGTTGGGGTCCTCGTAGGTGAAGGGGTCGATGTAGATCTTCATCCCTGGAGACCCTTGTCACAGGGAAGACAGGAAAACAGCAAAAGGGAGAGAATTACAGAAACAGAGTTAATAGAATCGTTTGGGTTGGAAGGAGCTCAAAGTTTATTCCATACTCCCCAACGAGCAGAGACGCCTTCCACTAAACCAGTTTGCTCCAAGCCCCATCCAACCTGGCCTTGGACAATGCCAAGTACAGTCTCTGGGCAGCCTGGAAAACCAAGACCAGCTGTAGCACAGCCAAGAACTGGAGACCCTTCTGTCCTCACACTGTCCAAGTGATTGCTATCACTGTACTCACCTACCCCACCTCCACAGACCCTTATCACCCCCTCTGGGGCAACAATTCACCCAACTCTCCCCTGTACCTCTTCCTCTCCCTCTCTGCCCTCCACTCCTCTACCATTACCCTTCCTCTTCCTCCTCCACGGCAATGGGAGCAGTTACAGACCTGAACAACAGCGCGCTGGCTTTACAGCGAAGGCTTTATGAGGCTCCACGCGTTAGTGAAGAAATATTTATTTACCCAAAAAGGCCTCTGATGGCTTTGTGGCGGCTACTAAATTGACAGAGTGCAGCAATTATAACCAACAACCTGCATGGATCTGTGAAATACAGCTTGGCTGAACGCTGGGACACGCGTGTGGTCCCTCGCCCAGGGCAACGCGTGGTAGCAGATCTGGCCATGCTGCAGGGACATGCAGAAAGTGACCTCTTGCCCTTTTCCAAGGGGGAAAAACAGAAACAGGTCCCCAGATTTCCCAAATGGGTTTGCAGATGGCACGTTTGGAGGTCAGGGCCTGGCAGAGCTGCCAAGGGGCGCGGTGGTGAGGCACAGTGAGGTCACAGGGCTCAGCCAGACACTGGTGGTGTACTGCCACCCAAAAGGGACCTACAACAGGCTGTGGTGTCCCCCTGGGAGGGGACAGCAGGGAGTCAGCTTCCTGTGCCATTTCTCACCCAAAAGGGGACTGTGTATGGCATAGCAGCCCCTCAAGGTCATCTCTGGAGGGACATCGCTGCCTGGTCCCCTCCCCAAGGCACCGCACCCTTACAGGGACTGACAGCCCTCAGTTACACTGTTCAGGACCTTTCCAAGGCCATGATCCTATCACACCCCAGACTCTGCTTCCCAGAGTCCCCAGAGCTGACACACAGATGGATGCATGGACCACAGCATCACCTCTGCACCAGGAATCTAAATCAGCTCCCAGCTGTGAAATAATTCAGGAGGAGGCATGAAAGCCTCACAGTGGGCACTGCTGGTGCCAAACAGCCACCAGGGGAGAGCTGCTTGTGGGACACTGAGGACTCAGGAAGGACCAGGCAGGAGCATCCTCACCCCCAAAAGGGGCCTTTGGGGCAGAAGTTCTGCACCTCAGAGGCAGGGGAGGCTGCAATGAAGCCATCTGTGCATCTCCCAGTTCATAAATCCCTTTATGGCTCTGTCTCATACACTTTAACTGCCCCATAAATTCTTTTACAAGAGCAGCTGATGCTCCAGCCAGGATTACAAAGGGATTTACAGGATCGTAACAGAGACTAGCTCACTGATCAAACTATTGAAAAAATAGAGGAGAAAACAATGCCCAAGTTTCCTGTCCTCTGTCAACACAGGCTGGTTTTCAAACACCTTCTGATGCGCCCCAGGGTCTGTCCACAGGCTCAGTAATCACCACGATCAGCTCCCCCCTCACCCTCATCCCATCCAAACGAGGGATTGGCCACCTAAACCCACTCCTCATCTCTGCCAACATCAGCTCGTCATTCCCACACCAGCAAAAGCTGGGTGAAATTCCAGGTACTGGTGCACACCACCAAAGGCTCACCCATGGTGAGCCTGCCTGCAAAGAGCTTTGTACTCTTAAAATCATCCCAAGAATCCTGAAAAATAGGCCATTTTTCAATACTGAAGACAAGGGCAAATATTTTATCACTCTTCAAAAGTTGAAGCACTCTGCACCACGACCCTGACTCCAGCAGCCAGTTCTTTCTGGCATCATGTTTCCTTGGCATTAAATATCATGGGGACAGAGAAAAATCCTTCCTGATGAATTGCTGGTGCTTCAGCAGGGCATTTTTCCCGTTTCCTCAATCTCAAAGCTCCCAGTGAAGCAATGGAAGGGATAAACCACAAAAAGCTACACCCCGAGAAACCCCATCTCACCCCAAAATTCAGCTGGAGCACTCTGCCAGCAGCAAGTGATCCCAGGGGGCTGCTGGAGGGATGGCAGAGCTGTGCTGGGAGGCTGTAATAGCTGTGCCACTGAACACATGGTGATTTGTTCCAGAGGATGCTCTCATTACTCCATTAGCTGCTCACCACAAATTTCCCACCTGTTTTGCTCCTGCCTCTGCACTGACGGAGTGCCCGGAGGCTCACTAACCTTGACAGGGTATTGCTGGCACCCCAGATTTCTGACACCAGTCATACAGCCCCCAGGTTTAGAAACCCAGGACAGGCACATGATTCATTGTTTCCCTACCCAGGTTGAGCATCCTGGATTTTGGGGCGCTTGGGGCCAGCTAGAGATGCATGTGTGGTAGGGAATGCTTCAAAACAGGGGGAAAATGTGAAAAATCACTCTGCCTGCAGCCTGATGTGAGTTTATCCATCAGGCATCAAATTCATCTTGCCCTGCCCCCCACAGTGAGAAACATGGAGAAAAGAGGGAGGAAAAGCACAGATCTGTCATCACCTGGTGATGTTTGGAAAACAGTTTATTGTTTGCCAGGAGGTTCAGGGCCTCCCACAGTGCTGCCACCACAATGGGAGGGTTCAGTGTGATGCTAAGAGGGTCTAAAGAGATCCAGTGTGTTTTGCTCTTGGCTGGGCTCTCCTGCTTATCTCCAATCCCTCTTCAGCCCTCTCCAGCCCTCCTGTTCTTCTCTGCGAGGCCAACTGCCCCATCCTCATTCCTACCCTCTGCTCACCCATACTTCTCCCTGCCTCCCTCACCCACCCTTCCTCCATTCCTGCATCCCACACCTCTTTCCCCCAGGGAGGCACCCAGGACCAAGATGGATCTTCCCACAAGCAAACTGCACCTGGGAAACATCTCTAAGAGAGCGTAAATGGGATTTACATCCCGCAGGAATGGGGTATGGGACCAGTGAACACCAGGAAAATCCTGTCCCCCAAAGCTGCTGCTTTGCTGCTTTATTTTCATTTGCAGTGCTGGCTGCTGGAGGGGCACCAGAGCAGACATTACATACAAATACACATGGAAGTAATTCTGGTGCACAGCTCCACCAGCTGCAGAGGTTTCCTAGGAAAAGCTCAGGCTCTCTTAATTGTTTGCCAAGGGGCTCAGCAGCCCAAAGCCAGTTCAACATTCCCATCGCTGGCTGCACATCCTTCCCAGAGCAAGGTACATCAGCCACACAGCCAGGACAGCAGCAATGCCAGCCACCAGCACCCACTGCAGCCACACTCCCAAAATCCAGAATCCCTCTAACAGCTCAGCATCGTCCAGCCCCAGGCAGAGACTGTGGCAGGACATCAGGGGCTCACCCTCCCTCTGAACACCACCTCTCTTCCTTCTTTCCTCCTCTGGGAGTCTTCATAGCATCCTCTCCCCATCCCTTGTCCCCTGCATCTCCCCCCTGCACCAACCTACCTCCAAATCCAGCATCATTCCTCAAATCCCGCCCGGTACTCTTCTTTTCCCACCCACAGTGCAGCACCACCCTCCCCTACCTCCACCCATGACAGACACATGCAGACATCTCCACTTCCACCCTATGGTCCTGTCCATGTGCCATGGGGGCTTCCACCACCCCAGAGTCCCCCCTGGAAGGGGAGGAGTGGGGCACATGCTGGAGACAGGTTTGGGAGCATCTCCCCTGTCTGCTTTTCCAACTTTCCCTGCTCACCTCTGCCGGTGCTGTAGTGCTGGAGTTTATCACTGTACACGGCCTCCTTGCTGTAGGCACGCTTCCTGAGAGAACAGGGGAGACAACAGCCAGGCTTCAGGGATCAGCACCTGCTGCTGGCCCCAAACCGCTCCCTGCCAGCAACACTCCATGAGCAGAGGCATCCTGCTGCTCCCTCTGGCCACGTGGGTCCCCATCCCACCCTCCTACCCACCCCTAATCTGCACCTGACCACCTCCACCTTCCAGGGCCACCGATCCCACAGGGACCCACCTGCTGCAGACGATGGAAATGGCCACCAGGGAGACGATGAACACCACCCCGGCTGCCGCAGACCCCGCGATCAAAGGCAGCTGTTCCCTCAGCTCTGACTTGTAATCGTCTGTGAGAGAGAGGGATGGGGTCAATCCTCCCTGGCACACTCAGGGAGTGAGAGCAGCCTTTGGGATTCCATGGGGGCTGCTCCCAGCGTGGTGGCACAAGGGGATCCAGGCAGGGGAGGAGCTGCTGCCATGTCGCACTGGGCAGGACTGTCATGCTTGGCTCACACACCATTGGCTTAAAGACAAGGGAGAGAATTTCCTGGAAATAACAACAGACCAACGTGCATGGGCCCAGTTTCTCAAAGTGATGAGGCTCACAAGGTGGCTTTGTCCATGGCTTTGGTATTTCCCTTTCCTCCATAAATTCATTTATTGAGCAACCTGATGTACCAGAAGCTGTCTCTGCACATGGCAGGGGTTGGAATGAGATGAGCTTTAGGGTCCCTTCCAACCCAAACCTCTATGACTTAAACCTGTTGGCCATTTTGACCAATTTTAACATGGGGTCTCAGAGACACAAAATTCCTACAAGTTGTAGGAAAGGAGGCAAACACCATTAATAACCAAGCCAGCCAGAGAATGCTGTGCCAAAACTTCACCCAGATCAGACACCAGAGTCCATCACACAATGGTGAACTTCGGAAGTGAGGCTCAGGAGAATCTGGGAAGCCAAACCACAAGTCTGTTTTTAGGTTTTAATATCTCAACATGAGACAAGTCCTTTTGCAGAGCCTTGGCACCACAGCATCCCTTCCCCACCAAGCATTCCTCAGAACCTCCTGTGTCTGCTCAGCCATCCCCTGCACCCTTCAGCAGCAGGCTGGGGTGAAAGCCAAGGTGGCACCTGGAGGACTGGATATGCCTGGGAGAACCCCCAAAAAGCTACTGGCACCCTCCACATGTCTCCATTTTTCACTGCCCCATCAGGGGTGTAGATACTCTCAAACAGGCAGTATCCAGCAGATTCCACATTCCTGGGGCTTCTGTAGCATTCCAGAATTACCCCTCTCTCCAAATCACCCCACCGAGGTCTGTCAGGCTGTGCCAGCAGCCACACGCAAGGGTTAAAATAAAACTCATCCAAAAGAAAGCATTTAACACCCTTTTATCTGTATTTTCTACTCTGCAGTTAATTACTGGCAACTAGATTTATCTCTTGCATGCTGCTTAAATCCTGAGAAATTCTCATCTAACAATCAATTATTATTTAATAAGCTACACAATCCATTCTTATTAAATTTCAATTAATTGCTTATTTGATGCAGGATTTTTCTCCTCGCTTCTCTAATCCTGAATATTTGAGGCATTGGAGGGGGGTTTATTACCATTTCCTTCCCTTTGGTCACCCAGCATGGTTTTCCTCTTGCCACCCCAGCTGGCACTCGATATGAAGGCAAGCATGGGGTGACCAGTTTTAAGGAAGAAGAAATGCTTTAGGAAAGAAGAAAAGCTTTAGGAAAGACAGGCAGTGAGGCTGGGAGCCATGGATGTCACCCAAGCAGAGAAGGTACCATGCCAACAGCAACAGGGAACGTGCTCTCAGCTGCCCCAGGGACAGAAGGACGTGCTCCACTCACTAACTTCTGGGTAAATCCTGAAGCTGGGATTAATGGAAAACACTCCCATTAGTAGTTTCTAAAGGAAGCCAGTGTTTGTGGGTGCAAGGAAGGGCTGGGGCCAGAAGAAGCCATGAAGGACATGAGCTGGCCCAACACACCCTTTTGCCATGGGGAATCAGCTTTCAGACGGGTCTGACCATCCCAGCTTTGCCCTGATGGCTCAGATGGACTCCAAGTATCCCAGAGCCCTTCCTCCAAGGGTCTACAACCCTCCTCACACCCCATCACACCGTGCTGATGCCAGGGGCTTCTGTCCCCACAGCTCAAGGCAGCAGAGACAGAAATAAATAGCAGGGAAAACCTGGAGCTGGGAGATTGAGAGCGGATCACTCCTACCGCCAGCAGCTAACGAGACACCGCCGTAAATCACAGGGGTCCTGCCACGCTGCCTGCTGGGACAGAGCTCTGTGCAGACAAGCTCCTTCAATCCAACTAGAGCACGGGGCTGCAGACACCCCCAGGCCGCTGCCGGGCCGGACTCACCGTCGGTCAGCGTCTGGAAGCACATCTTGCCGCTGTACTTGCCGTAGCCGGCCACAGTGCGGGCGCGCACCTGCACCACGTACACCATGCCGGGCCGCAGCCCCTCCAGCCGCGCCGTGTTCGTCTGGCTGCGAGCCATGGACGAGTTGTACTCGTTGTGGTCCTGCAGAGAGAGCCACGGTCATGGGACTGGGGCAGGGGACAGCAGGAGGGCAGCAGGACTGAGCCTGTTGAGAATGGGGTCTGGCTGCAGGGGGGTAAAGGAGAGGTTCTGGTTCTGCTTCAGGAGTGTCCTTGACACAGGGGAGCCCACAGGAAAGGCTGGGAGAATGGATTGTTCAGCCTGGAGAAGGTTTTGGGAAAGGTGCCCCTGCCCATGGCAGGAGGTGGAACAAGATGAGTTTCAAGGTCCCTTCAACCCAGGACATTCCATGATTTTATGAAACAGGACCCACGAGGAACTGAGCACATGCCTCCCAGGCAGCCCCTTGTCCCACCAGAGCAGGGAGCATGGATTACCAGAGGGAAACAATAAGATCATCCAGAGCAAAAATAATTTATGAACAACAGATTCCTCCTCTTCAAATGATTGACGTCCCTGTGCATTTCAGAAACATCCCACAGGGACACCCACCTGGCGTCCCTGCCCACAGCACGGGGGTTGGAACTGGATGATCTTAAAGGTCTCTTCTGACCCAAACCATTCTGTGATTCCACTGAACACTGAAATGTGTCCTATGAGACCCTGCTCAAGCAGGTTCAAGGGTAAGTCTCTGCTGAGATCCCCAACCCCTGCAGTCCTGCTCTGCTGGCACAGGTCCTTGGCCTAGACCTTGGTGGAAGCCTCATGTGTCTCAGCTCTCATTTTTTACCACATTCCTCAGTGCTTCGCTGGTGAGAGGCCACTGGTGAGATCATCTAATTATTCATAGAGGAATTCATTAGAGCTGGCAAGACACAGGAGGGATGGAACAGCTTGGGCCAGGCACGGTTCATCGCAGGGGTTGGGAGCGTGTCCCCTGCAGGACAGGACAGCTGCCAGGGACAGGACCAGGGCTAGGCAGGGACCTGGGGCAGGGAGTCTCCATAACCTTCCCTGGTCCTCTCCAACCCCCTCCCCCTCCTCCTGATGCCATCCCCATGGTTCAGGTCCTCGCTCATCCTCGCAAACCGCAGAGCCAAGGTGGCCATGGGCACTGATGTGCTGGACAAATGCCACAGGGACGGAATGGCTCACGTTGGACAGGGCTCTGAGCAACCTGATCTAGTGAGAGGTATCCCACGGCAGGGTGCTGGAACTAGAAGAGCTTTAAGGTCCTTTCCAACTCAAGCTGCTCAGTGATTCTGATTCTGTGATTTAGCATCTGCAGTCACAACTCACTCCCACCTTCTGGAGGCATCTCAGGCGACGTGGTGCCTGTCCTAGGTGACCATTCCCAGCACAGCCTGTCTCAGAGCCCATGGATGCTGCCCCTGCCCCCATCCCCCAGCCCAGCCCCCAG